GGTTTTCTCCACTCAATAGGTCCCTCAGACTAGTTTGTGAAGAAGACTAAGTCTCAAAGTCAGGACATCTGTTTCTTTTAGGTTATAATGAGAACCACTACTGCAAATCTGTGGGCTGTTTATGTCAACTCAACCAGTACATTCTTTCCCTGTGGGAGCCGAATTATATTTAGCAGATTGCTCGGTGGACATGGAATCTAAGGTTGTGCATTCAAGTATCCAGCGGTATCCTGGTCTGCCCACCCTGGTTCCTTTCCCTGTGACATTGTACCTGCTCAGTGAGACACTCTTCATTCTTAAGACCTCTGCTTAGAATTTTGTTTTCCCAAGAAGCCCTGACCCGGCCAGGCTAGGCCAAAAATGATGGCACATTTCATAAGAATGGACCCCGTATCCAGTTCCACTCTGGGTACCCATGGGTACAACACAAACAAAACAAGAACTAGATTGCCACACAAACAAACCAAGCTCTCCTGTGTGGGAGGAGATTCCCTCTAGCCAAGCCAGGGGAGTTCTTCTTAGGAAGGGAGTAAGGTCACCTGGAGGTGCGAGAGGGTTGTATCAGTCTCCTCATGCACACACGCAGCTTGTTTACCTGGCTCTTCTGTACCAGGATGACTTCACACGGATGGTCCAGATGCCCAAGTCACTGGTGTGCCAGCTGCATGGCTCCTCGCTTTGGCCTTCCCTCTCTGGCATTTTTCATCCCTGACCTGGACATAAGCTCCCTTCTGTTTCTCACGGCCTACAGAGTTGGAATCAAGGCTTTGATTACTTCATATCATCGTTAGCCCGGCTTGTCCTCTTCTCATGAGCCGGCAGCACTGCGTGCTGTTTCCCAGTGGAGCCTTCATAGAACCGTGTGGCAGTTAGGTTAGTGGAGGTAACCGGGGACAATGGAGCCTGGACACCATCTTCTTGACCTCCAACCCCACCCTCTTCTATAGCTCCCTGGGCATAGTAGGAGCTTGGTAAGGATTTGTGCAATGAACAAATCGAGGAATGATCTTCCTTATTTGTAGTGATTGATGTCCTAGTTTCAGCAGGCCTCCTCTCCTGACTCCAGTGTAGGCTTTGCATTGTCCTGGGGATGGCCATGCGCTGTGGGTGCATTCATTCTGTGTTTATTTTTCTAGTGCAGTTGCTAGCTCTGTGTCTCATTCTCTTTCCTGCGGATTGTAGGTGGCCTGTGGATCACAGGTAGCTCTCGGTGAGAGGCGTGGCTCTGTGGACCCGCCTGCATTTTCTCAGCCTTTCATTGTTCTCCCTGGTGGCTGACAGTGTCTCTGCGTTTCTCTCAAGCTGAGGGCCCAACTCCCTGGTTGTTCCTTCTTGAGAAGCATGAGAGCTTCCTTAAGGTTAAGAGTATGGGCCACACAAATGGACCTTCTCAAAGATGGTGCCTGTGGTCCTTCTCCACAGTCTAGCCTTACTTCTGAGACTGTTTAGGATATTAGACTTTAAATTCACAAGCGCAGGGACTCTGCTTATCTTCCCAACATTGTACCTTCATATCTATGAGTATTTTGTACTCAAGTGTGCTTGTTGACTATAACGAATGAGTGAGTTAATCAATGTGGCTGAGCAAGTTTGACAAGAGGTCTGTGAATCCTAAGAACATACTGTCGCGTCCACCCTCGACCAGCAAGGAAAAACGCAACACCCAGAGCTCTTCTTGCAGCAGTTTTCAGGACTTTATTCACAGCAATCTATCTCCTTCTCCTTGTTTTTCTCTCTCTCACTGGGCAAACCCTCTCCCAGCCCTTAAGTAGGCATGGGCTGCCAACTCCGAACTGCCAGGTGGGCACTGCCCATAGGTTCACGCATATGTAGGCAGCTGATGATCATTGCATGATCATAGCATAGGTCAGGCCTTAGCCATCTCAGGAGTTGATTATACATCTCCATCAGGTGTGACACCACACAGCTCGCTACAACATACTACATAAAATAATTGTTTTAAGTTGTGGAAATTACTATAAACTTGAAACCAAAACAAAACAGAGTCTCACATAACCTGAGCTGGCCTCGAGCTTCCTATGTAGCTAAGGATGACTTTGAATTCCTAATGCCTTTTTCTACTGCTTCCCCCCAAATGCTGTGATTATAGGTATGTGTCGCTAGGCCTGGTTTATGCAGTGCTAGGGAACGAACTTAAGACTTTGTGCAGGCTGGGCAAGCATGCTACCAACTGAGAGACATCGCCAGCCCGTGTGTGTATTTTTCAACTAAAATACTACAATCAATATGAGAAAATAGAAAGAAAAAGTCAAATAAATCTTTCTATTCAGATGACCATGCAAATATTATTTTGGTTATTTCTTGCAAATCCCTTTCTTGCTTCACACCTCAGTTCCAGTGTCCATTTCTGCTACTAGCCTGCTCCTTCACTCTCTTTTGAACTTACTTTATAACATGCTTCTCACCTGCATGGGGCATTCCTACTCTAGCCTTCTCCTTTATCTTTTGCATGGATTGAAACCTCTGGCTCTTTGGCTTATCATCATTGAACTGGAACCCAGAGAGTCGCCAGCCAGCTGGTACTGGGTGCTGACTCGACTGGCCCAGGAGCCTCTCCCTGGATTTTATCCCTGTGGCTTCTGGATCAAGTTCTAGGCCACAGCAGGGTGTGTGGAAGCATCCTGATCAGCCACAGTTATTTGCTGTGCTAGTTCTTGGTAGTTCCAAGATAGTTTTGCTAGCTGAACTGGGAGATTACGTGAGTTTTCCAATGAAAACACAGAAGGCAGCACCCACATCTGAACACACCGTGTGCCACTTGTATAACATCGTTATCGCCACAGGAGGAACAAGTTCGTTTGCAGTTTCTGCTATTGAACTCCCTAAATTGCTTTTGTTATTGGCATAAGAAATGACTATCATGTTTGGTCAAATCATGTGGCATCTTTGGACATTTAGTCACCTAAGGTAGGAAATGGTATTTTCTTAATGTAAGAAAACTTAGTAGGTGAAGAACAGTTGGGGGCAGTGTGATTTCTGCTTATTTCAGGGTCCCAGGCATTGTTACTGGGGAGCGAATCTAGGAGTGTTCTTATCTTCTAATAGCTATGACTGAAGCCTTCAAAACTGTCTCGCCATTGAAGAAAGAGAGCAGAGCAGAGGTTCCATAGGGCTCATTCTTACATCTGCAAGTGTTTGGTATTTATCTAGCTCTTCTCACTCATTGATTAAAAATATTAATGTTTGCTTTAAATTGTTAATTCAGAAAGCGTTTGAAATCTTTAGCCTTTTGGAAACTTGTTGTTTTTACTCTTCTCTAGAACTCTTTGCTTCCTTCGTGGGTCTTGAACATTCTTCCTCTACTTCTGTCTTTGTGATCAAGTCTTCCTAGGTGAACCCTTTGCCTTTCACACAGCAGTCTCTGTTGCATCTCAGGATTCATAGGCCCCTAGTCTCTGGAAACTGCCTTCATTGAGTTGGGGATTTCATTTTTTGGTTTTGCTTTTGGGAACACTTGAATGATAGTAAAGCAGGCTCCAGCGAAGGCTGCTACCATAATATAAAGTGTAGGAGAGAAATCTCTACAACGACCAGTCTATCTGTGGCAGGAAAGCTAACTTCCTTTGCTGGCACTTACCTTGATGGAGGTCAGAGGATCACCCCAGCATCATGGCGTCTACATAGTATCCCTCTGTTGATCTGCCACAGTGTCCCAAGGAGTAGAAAACTCCTTAGGCAGTATGGAAGAGACTGTGCTAAAGAATGATGTCTTTGTATCTACTTTTTTCTTATAACGTTATATTTTCAAATTTAGGAGGAAAGAGACTGTGGTTTGTGGTCTCTGTTCCTAGAATGTGCCTGGATTGCACTTCACCATCCATATCCTGAGATATCTTGGATATACTGAGATAGAAGGAAGGGGATGGGGCAGGACGGAGATACTAGGCCACATGTGAAGTGTGAGGACCTTCATTAGGCTCTCCATGAGAAACAGGAAATGGGTATCCCTCTTCTTCCTTTCTTCACTCTCTCAGGACACAGGGCTCGATAGTGCTTCTGAAACTTTGTGTCTCTGGGCTTTTATTGATAACACGAAATCTGATTGGGTAAGTCTGGGGTGGGGCTCAGAGTCTTCATCTTCAAGGAGGCCCAGACTCCTGGTCTAGGGCCTGTGCATTTGATGCGGCTTCACCCAAAGCATTATATTAATATTAACTAACATAATGGGATATTAATATCCCAAGGCTAGACATTGCCCTCTAGTACCAAGGTGCCACAGGGGAATAGTATTTGAGACTTCCTCAGAATAGGTGTGGGGCCTTTGGATCAGCAGGTTCCCATTCCCAGGGCCTAGGTCTCAGAGTGAGCGCATCTCTTCAGTCTGGAGTGCACATGATGAGTGAGCACATCCTTCACTTCGGTAGTGTCAGAGGCAATGGGTTGATCATGTTGCCCACCTCAGTTCTGGTGTGAGTCACAGGGTGAGCATGTGGGCTGTTGGGTGAGTGCGTCTTGGGAAGCTGCATGGCGGGCATTCTCGCTCCCATCTCTCCCTAGTTCTGTGGATCACAGACACTACGGCAGAGGAGGAGAGCGAAGGGAAAGGAGAGGCACAGGGCCCAAAACATAAGAGTGTATGACTATTTCTCACCGTCCAGCTGCACCTTGGGGCCTTTATATCCCCGGTCTACTCCATGGGTCTTCTGCCCTGGTAGATGGCTGACACTCTCTCCTCCACCCCCTTTCTCTCTGCTTCCCAACCTTAGAATTATGCCCTTATGGGTATTAGCTACAAAGCCCAAAGGTGAGGTATTCATGTTCATCTCATTTTATGTTATCTTACCTTCAGCTGTTCCCCCCCCCCCTTTGCTTTTTCCATTAAGGCTCTGAGACTTCCTAAGGAACTGATTGTGTTTGTAAGATATGTGTATTCATTATGTCTGTTTCTTGTGGCCTGCTCTTTGGTACAACCAGTCCTTCTGTAGTGTTGCATGGACGTCATGTACAGACCTGAGTTCTGTTTTCTCTTTGCCCTCCAGATGTTTATTCTTTTCAAGAAGAGGGACCTGTTTTGGATCCTCATTTGGCCAAACACTTAGCACACTTCGGGATTGACATGCTTCATACGAATGGGGTGAGAACATCTTTTGACTCTAATTCTACGCTGTGTTTGTGGTGGGCAGGGGGGTGTATTTAATTTATTTAATATAGAATTCTACTAATGTACTTCTTTGTAGATTTAGTTTTAGTTGTTGCATTAGTTTGCTAAATTTAGTTGATTAGCATTTTATTTGGGTTACCAACTTAGAATTTTGTTGTTTATCATGTTATGGGTTATTGGGGTTTACTTACAAAAATTTTGTTTTAGATGCATAAATCCCTCTTTATTTTTCACTAAAGGGAGAAAGTACTAGATAATGACCTTTAAAATAATACGTGACTTACATCACTTTATTTTCCCAAAGGGAATAAGGGCTCCTGGGTAGTGGCTGGCGTAAAATGGTTGAAGCTTTGCCTCACTGCTTGATTCGACTTGGTGATGGGTTAGTTTTGCCTGTGAGTCACGTTTCAGTGTGAGACTGTATTCTCTCTCTCCCAGGCCAGCACTCTGTCTGTATGCTCTCATGATGTTTGGCTCTTTCTCTTTCGTGCCCATCTTTCCACTTACTCACCCTTTCATTTCCTTCCTCTCTCAGGTGCTTGGAAGCCTCACTGGGTTCGTTTCACCTTTCTCTCTCCCTTTCTTGCCTTTTTGTTTACTGTAGGTCCCATGTTGTTCCCTTATCTTGCTACCTGGGGTTTTTTTGTTTGTTTGCTTTTAGTTTATGTGAGCATCTCATGCAGCCTGGGCTATATAGCTAAAAATGTCCTTGAACTTCTGATCTTCCTGCCTCACCTCGTGAGTTCAAGGATTACAAGTGTGCACCATGCCCAGGCTATGTGGTGCTGTGTAGTTGGTTGTTTTATTGATTCTTTACTCTTTTGGCTTTTTATGGGAGACCTGCCACCCAGCTACCAAATAAACACTTGCATGGAATCTTTTTCTTTCTTAAGAATACTCACCCTTAGCTTGGCTTATTTCTAGCCAGATTTTCTTAACTTAAATGATCCTGTTTATCTTTTGCCTCTGGGATTTTATCTTTCTCTATTTTTGTATATATTTTCTTTACTTCTTACTGTTTGTCTGGCTGTGTGACTGGGTGGCTGGCCTCTTCTTTTCTTGTTCTTTCATCCCCTCTCCTCAGACTTCTCCTCCTGTTTATTTTCTCTCCCTGCCAGAACTGCCTATCCTTTCTCCTACCTTGCTATTGGCGGTTCAGCTCTTTCTTAGACCAATATAGTGTCTCAGATAGACAAAGTAACACAACTTCACTGCCTATCCTTTCTCCTACCTTGCTATTGGCTGTTCAACTCTTTCTTAGACCAATATAGTGTCTCAGATAGACAAAGTAACACAACTTCACAGAGTTAAACAAATACAACACAAAAGAATGCAACACATTTGCATCATTAAACAAGTGTTCCACAGCATAAATATGTAACACATCTTAAAATAATATTCTGCCACAGTGCTGGGGATGGAACCCAGGACTTCATTCATGCTGTGCAATGTTTGAGTTGCATCCTTCATGTGTTGAATTCTCTTTTTCATATGCCTCTTGTCTCTTTCCTTCTTGTTCTTTCTCTTTCATGGACAAACAAAACAAAACAAAACAAATCAAATCAAACCAAGCCAAACCAAGAAAACCAAAACTCAAAACTTTTTCATGTTTCAAAAATTTTGGTTATATATATATATATATATATATATATATATATATGTATATGATTATCCTTTTAGATAATTTTAAGTATACTGCTTTGTGGCATTAAGTACATTTACATTCTTTTATAGTTGTCATAGCCACATGTTGAGGAGACAGCTGTTGGGGTCCAGCCTTGATGGGCTCATCCGTTGCAAGGTAGGGGCATGTGGGTTAGAAATGTTAGGCAGAATAAATAGAGATACAAAAGAAATACAGAAACACAGGTTAGTACTAGACAGGCAACCCAGTGAATGTTGAATTTACCTGTATTTATTTCTTATGATCTTTCAATACCCCGATCCAAAAACAGGGACGAAAGCAAAAGACTTTTTTTTAAAATCATAATACAAAGAACAAACAAAGTGATTGCCATCTTAATACTTCAAGCACCAAATAATGACACCCTAGGTCAAAATACCTTTGTTAACAGTCATACCTTAGGTTAAATCTCCTGTCAGTAACCTTGAAGAAACAAGAATGGACCTGAACTCTCTGACCTTTAGTCAAGGTGGAATGGATCTACTTCTGTGGACCCCCACATATTCTTCCCTCTTTAATTTATTTAATAAAGCCCATGCTTTCTGCTACAGGACAGATGACTGTGCCTGGCTTAGGTGGCCTTCTTCCACTTTCCTGACTTACCTGTCATCAGTACATCATAGAGGGAAAAATCTTATCCATCATTGACTACCAACATCCATAAATAAATGGTTAAGGGAGGGTGCACAGCTAGGTGCTGTGTACCTCTGAGCCAATTCCATGGAGAGAATTCACAGATAACTAGATGAACATATGCAAGCAGATAATGCTTTGTGGTATACATGCTCCTATGGCCACACTATTTCCTAATAAAGGATTGAAGAATGACCAAGATGGGATAACTTTTGAAATTGGCCTAGGATGTCTTTAATAGTTTTTAGCTGCGTCAAAATACAAATTTGTGTCTATAAACATATCTAATCTAATGACTTGTTGGCATTATGTCCAATTTTTTTTCTCAGATAAACTCTAACCTTTTTCTAATCATTAACATCTCAGTGGTGAACCGAAGTAGTTAACAAACATTAACAGGTCAATACCATAATTCTAGTATGAAAATTAACAATAAGTGCACAATTTGTCAAATCACTATTCTCTTAAATCTGTTCTAATCAAAAGACAAGGAAATGTTTCTATGATGAGTGAGATATGAATCTTTTCCCTTTTCTATAGTCCAATTGTGTTGCTGCTTTTAACTTTCAAAGAAAGTTGGAACGGTCCCAGTCTCTGCGTAGCAGCAAAAACTTTTATGCCATTTCTCCTCATCTCCAAAGAGGGACTTCAGTCACTCTTTGCTCCATAATAGTGTTCCATTGCTTTAATAACAAGTCTCTTTCTGCCAGAGGGGAAACTTTCTGAGCTCTCAGTTCTTAGGTCCTTTATTTCAACAGCGGATCGAGCACCATACTGGCAAAATGAGTTGTGTGTACCAAGATATAGTATGGATAAACTGCCAAATATTCAATCAACATTCTTGGGCTGGCTACAAAATCAATAGGATTCATTAAGGTCTGGAAGTTTGTGCAGTAGTCCTCCAAGAAGCTAGGAATTATCAGCCATCACCATGATCTCCCTTCCTTTCTCAGACTGCAGTGTGACATTAGAAGGGCGGGAAGGCAGGCTAAGCAGTCTCACTCAGACTCTTCTGTGGGGGCACCAGTGGCTACGATGTCATCAGAGCTGGCACCCTTCTGATGTACACACTGGACCAGATATTCAGAAAGCCTTATTCTCCTCCTGTGAAAAAACATAGACATACCTTCCACCCCATAATGAAATAGGGTCGGGTCCTTTCCATAATCGACTGCAAGGGTCTTTCCATTTTGTTTTAGTGACAGTCACTCTGGTGCCATCATGGCAAAATCTATCTGCAGCAGACTGCTCATGTGTATCCCCGTTCAAGATGTTAGAGTAAAAAGCCATGGTTCAAGGCGTTATGTGGCCACTGAGGGTATAATTTGCCTGTTTTTATCTTTAGAAATGTTTTCAAGGAGCCATGGGCATGCTCCACAATTCCTTGTCCTTGAGGATTATAAGGAATACCTGTTTTGTGTTCAAAATCCCATTGGGAACAAAATTGCTGACATGCTTTACTAAAATACCCAGACCCATTATCTGTCTTTATAATTTTAGGAGTTTCCATATATGAAAAACACTTTAAGCAATGAGTTATTACATGCTTAGTGGCTTCTTCAGTCTCTGCAGAGGCTGTTAAGAAACCTGAATGTGTATCAATTATCACATGCACATATCTTAATTTGCCAAATTCTGCAATATGAGTAATATCCATTTGCCACAAATGATTAGGAAGCAAGCCTTGAGGATTTACTCCCAGATGAGGTATAGGTAAGTATTGTTGGCAGATATCATATTAACAATCTGGCGAGCAATTTCTCTTGTTAATCCAAATTGTTTTCTTAAACTTTATTTTGATGATGTATAGCATGTGATTGCTAAGCAAGTCCAACCTGAGATAAAGCGATCACCTAAGTAGATTTCTCAGTTAAAGTATTACCTCAGACAATGGACCTGGAAGATTTGAATGTGCTCTTACATGATGGCGTCTTGGATTTGCTGGAATAGCATCTTAACCTGATTATTACTAGTCCTAATCCCTGAAACTGTTTCTGTTATCTGAAGAACTTTAAAAATGTACTGACTGTCAGTATAAAAGTTCAATGCTTTATCTGCAAAAAGCTGTAATACTACAGCAACATCTCACAGCTCGACTATGTGAGCTGAGGCTGGATCTGTCTGCACCAGATAACCCTTACCATCAACAACATATGCTGCTCTTCCATGCAAGACCCATCTGTAAAATTAACATAGCGTCCTTTAAGGGATTGTTCAATGCATTTTTTTTTTTTGGAAATGTAGTTACGTGAATTGCAGCAATCCATCAGCTGGGAAAAAATTGCCAATTTAGCCTACAGATTGAGCAAATGCAATTGCCCAAGAAACATTATTTTGAAATAGCCAATCAATCTGTTGCTTAGTGTAAGGAGCATCGATCACATTACGTTCCCTACCAAAATATTATCATCTCAATTCCATCTGGCTTTTCTGTACTAAACAAGCTACTGTTTCAAAATAAGGGTTAAATACCGTGACCGGTGAAACGGGATGGTGAATCCATAAAAGAGGACAATTTTTTGCCATAGTACTGTTGTGGGAGTAAGTTTTGTAGATAATATACATGTTTGCCAATTAATATAATCATAATCATAATTAATACAATGTTCCTGCTGTTTCTGTATTGCATATCCCACCTGTGCCATACCTGTCTAGCGGCATCTGTAACGTGTCTGGTGGAATTAGGGTCACACTGCTCCCCTTAAGAATTTTACTTAGTGGTTCAAGATCTCCCGTAGGGAATTTTAAATAAGGTCTCAACCACCAAATATTTCGTAACAATCTTTGAAAATCATTCAGAAGCTATAAGCTATCCTTCCTAATTTCCAATTTCTGATGTTTAATTTTTTTATGATATAACATATAACCTAAATACCGGAAAGGCGGTGCCTCTGGACTTTCTCTGGGACAGTAATTGCATGGGAAAAACTCTGCTGAAGCTGTCTGTTTGTCTCAAGCAAAACTCCTTCCTCTTTATAGGCAAGCAGGATATCAGCCATATATTGGATGAAATAAACTTGTGGAAATTGATCTCTGACATTTTGTATAGGCCGAGCCACAATTTTCTGGCATAGCGTAGCACTGTTTGCCGTACCCTGAGGCAAGATGCTGCCATGATGTCTTCTCATTGGCTCCTTGAAATTAACTGATGGAATTCTAAATGCAAATCTTTGACGGTCTTCGGGTACCAGAAGGATGGTATAAAAACAATACTTTAAATCTAAAATAATCTTATAGGTGTCTTTTGGTATAGCTGTAGGAGAAGGCAACCTAGGCTGTGAAGCTCCCATCGGCTGCATGGTCTCATTAACCTTTCTTAAATCTTGTATCAACCTCCATTTTCCTGATTTCATTTTAATTACAAAAATAGGAGAATCCCAGGGGGAAATGGAGGGCATAATGTGACCATTATCCAACTGTTCCTGAACTAACCGCTGGGCAGCTTGAATTTCTCTTCTGTTAGAGGCCGCTGATTTACCCATATAGGCTCGTCACTTTTCCAGACAATTGGGTCTGCATGGAGTGCAGGCTTTTCAGTGATCTCTTCTGAAATACCCCAATCCTGCCCTGGGGGGGGGGGCTCTGCTAGGTGTGATAGGCTCAATTCTTGCCCTGACCTTGATTGGGCAATAACCGTTTCTGGAACATTTGATTAGCAATAACTGTGTTGGGGGAATATAAATATACTCCCATTCGGGTCATAATGCCCCACAAATCTGCAGTAAGTGAGGAACAATGTGTGGCCGGAAAGTTCCTTCATGACCATCTCCATCTCTCCAGGAAGGCTCATTGCTGTTTTGTTCAGGATTTTGAGTCTGACCAATCCCTTGTAACTGTGCAATAGTCACCGTTTTAGGCCACCTCGAAGGCCATTGACTGGCAGTTATAACAGAAATATCCACATCAGTATCCAGAAGAACAGAAAAGCTTTTTCCATTTATAAACCAAGCGAGTTCTGGTTGCTGTGGACCTGTGGCTTGTAGCCAATAGGCATTGGATGAACCAAATCCAGAATCTCTTCTCTTACTTCCCTTAACTCAATTTCTAGTTTGCATTTAGGAAGTGAAACTAATTGTTCAAGTTGCTTGCCTTTGTTTACCACAGAAATCCCATTTCTGTGAGTCATAACCTCGATTTCTCCTTCAAAATCCGCGTTAATGACTCCAGGAGCAACAAGAATCCCTTGCATAGTGGTGTAGTGGTGCTACTTCTCCCCTGTAGCAATCCTACAGTGCCTTCTGGTAGAGGGCCGTAAGCCCCAGTGGAGAGCTTGCATCCCCACTGCAGGAGTTAAAATGGTATAAATGGAAGAGCTGATTTTGAGCCCTGCACTGCCCGGGGTTGCCCTGCTTTCATCCTGATTGGATTTCTTTGCAGGAGAACAGACTGCTGGATCACCCCATAGATTTGTTTCAGGCTGGAGGCAGGCCCTTCTGCTCATCTCCTGGAGAGGATTCCCTTGGACTTCTTTCTTAGATCTGCATTTGTTAGTCTAATGTTTTCTTGTCCTGCATCTTCAGCGTAATCCCAGTTCCTTCCTCACCCCTGGGCTTACTCTCCTATCAGGATACTGCTTGAAGTCCTGGAAGACCCCACCTGAAGCAGCTTCCTGGAGTCCTTGAGTCCCTTCTTCTCTCTGGGCCTTGATTGCTTTGTCTGGAGAGATTTACGAACATCTTCAACTGTCCTCTCCTGTAAAGCAGTGTGTATAACCAGTATCTGAACACATCTGAATATAACCAGAGATGTCATCTTTCTTTCTAAAAGGCTGCTTTACCTATTGCTTTAGCATTCTCACACGCTTGATTCCCTGAGGCTGTGCTCCACAGCTGTCTGCTAGGCTGGAGCAGCTTGCTGCGTTCTCGGCATGGCTGTCCTGCCAGGAACTGGGGATCTTGGCCCTCAGGTGTCTTCCGGGCTAGCGGTGGCAGCGGTTGCTTGCAAAGTCAGCTGCAGTGTGGGCTGGGTACACCACTTTTACTTCTCTGAACCCAAGAACGGTCTGAAAAATAGTCACTGTGCCACTATTATAGGGGAGGAAGATTTACAAAATCTACGGATTCTTAAGATTGCTGTCCTTGTTTCTGCTCTATCCCAGTTCTCCAAGCTTTCAAAATATACCCAAGAAAATATGCAGACAGCTGAATAGTATTTCCTTGTCCCGTAGCTAGTTATATACAATTTTACTCCTGATAGATATCATTGCCTTTTTACCTTAAACTTATTTGAGCACTCATCTTTTACTTCTACACCTGTGGTGTCCAACATGCTCTCCCTTATACACATCTGGGCCACACATCTGGGCCACACATCTGGGCGCCATCTGTAGTAGCCACCCATTGAGGGGGGGGCATCTGTCAGGGTCCAGCCTCAACAGGTTTGTATGTTCCAGGGTAGGGGCGTGTGGGTTAGAAATGTTAGTCAGAGAAAACAGAGATACAAAAGAAACACAGAGACACAGGATAGTGCCAAGATTGCAACCCAATGATGCTGAATCCACCCATGTTTTTTTTCTAATGATCTTTAAATACCCCAGTCCAAAAATGGGGAAGAAAGCAAAATACTTTTTTTTTTTTAATGATACAAGGAATAAACAAAGTGATTACCATCTTCATACCCAAAGCACCAAGTAACCACACCCTAGGTCAAGATATTCTGTTAGTAGCCACACTTTTAAGTTAAATCTCCTGTCAATAACCTCGAAGGAGCAAGACTGGGCTTAAACTCTGCTGCCCTTCAGTCGAGGTGGAATGGATCCACGTCTACGGTCCCCCGCATGTAATCATCATTGCCTCTTAATATTTTTAAGTAGATTGTTTATGTCTCCCATATAATTAGAGGAAAATGGCAGAAATAACCATTTGCATTAGAAATAATTCATGGACATAAGTTTTGATCGTGAACCCGTTTAAAGCCCTTTACTTTCCTCTCTCTTTCATGATGTCTCAGACAGAGAATGGACTCCGGGACAATGACATCAAGCCAAGAGTCAGCGAGTGGGAAGTGATCCAAGAGTCAGGGACTAAGCTGAAGCCCATGTATGGACCAGGGTACACGGGCCTGAAGAACCTGGGCAACAGTTGCTACCTCAGTTCTGTCATGCAGGCCATCTTCAGCATCCCAGAGTTCCAGAGAGCGTAAGTGTGGCCCCGCTGCTGACGAGCCACTGTGCTGCCAGTCTCCCTGGGCTGGTCCTTTCTGTGCGCTTGGAAACACATTGCTTTTGCCCTGGGGATTCTGCTGTATCGCGGTGGGAGTGTGACTTCTCATCCTGAGGCCCAGTGAGAGCTCTCATCCAGTATCACAGGATGGGGTGAGATGAGGAGTGCTTGGAGATGGAGCAACACCTCACAGTCAGTCGTCGTGGCTCTCAGACCATATCTGTGCCAAGAATATGTCAGCCATACATCTTCATAGGACACCTGCCTGATCTTTTTTCTAGGTGGGCCAGTAGAGGGCTAGGGACATCTGTTCTCCAGAGGGGAATTTTGTGGAGAATTTTAGGTTATTATTTTTTGTTACTGGGAGTGTGGTTCCTGGAAATCCTGGGCTACTAGGTGTGGGTCTGCCATCAGAAAAGGGTGGGACTCGATCAATAGAGACTGGTGTAGTGATTTGATAGCACCATGTTTAATATGTGGCATTGCATATGTTCCATTAATTATTCTTATGATAGCTATCCTCTATCCTGAGTTGGAAACTTTGACACTTTAGGTAGACATTCTGGGCATACCGAATTAGGGTGCTTCCTAATTCTGCTGGCCTCTTTCCCCTGTGCCTCCCCACACAAGTTGCTGTGTCTGTAGGTGTTTTCTGCATTGGGCTGTGCTCAGGACAAGAAGCCCTGCAGCTCTGGAGTGGGTAGGTTTCCACACTGGGTTAAGTATGGAAGAGGACATTCATGTCGAGATAGACTGAATAGCAGAGAGCATGCTGGGAGCAGCACACGGTGGTATCTTTTCCACATGGAGCTGAAACCCTAGTGGTTACACAGTGCTTCACTAAGTGTTCGTCAGGTCAGAGAGTCTTTCCTGTCAGAATTCAGTACTTAGCCATTCATTGCTGTTTTCTGCCTTTGAAAATATATTGTCCATTTTCCACATGTACTTTTCCACTCTTCAGTAAAGAACTAGCTGTGTTGTGTGTGTGTGTGTGTGTGTGTGTGTGTGTGTGTGTGTGTGTGTGAGAGAGAGAGAGAGAGAGAGAGAGAGAGAGAGAGAGAGAGAGACTGACTCAAGAGTAAACTCGGGTCTGATATCTGGCCTGAGGGAACACACAAAGACAGACATTTGGTAGATAAGCATCAACATAGTTATGAAGGTGTTCTATCCCAGGAAGGGGAAGGGAAGAAGGTCAGAGGGGATACACACCCCACTGATAGATGAGTGAGAGGGATGGGAGAGAGGGGCAGAAAGTTTGAAGTTCTAGCTTGGGGAACTTTTTCAGAGGCATGTACCTCCTATTATTTTTTATAAATTCTTACCCATGTTTCTGTCTTTTGTCATCTTCTGAGTATGGGTTAATCTGTTTGTCTTACCTGATGTATACTCCAAGGTTTCTTTTTGAAGTGCTTGTGAAATGCCTGTAGTGATATTTTGTTTATGTTTTAACAATTAAAGCTTGTCTGAAGATCAGAGTGCAGAGCTAAGCCACTAGAAGCCAGGGAGTGGTGTCGCACTCCTTTAATCCCAGGACTCAAGGCCACCATGGTCTACACGAGATTGAATCTCTCTATAGAGAAAAACAGAACTCACAGAAAGATGTTTCTAGCACTTAGGAGTTGCACACCCTTAATCCCAGCACTAGGGAGGTGGAGACAGGAGTGATATGTCTGGGCAGAGAGACGTATAGAAGGCGCAAGAAGACAAGAGCGGGGCTGTCTGGGGTTTGGTAGAGAGCACTGCAGTGCACAGTCACTGAGGACAGGATCGCCCCTTTGTTTGTCTGAGCCTTGGTAGCGGCTCTACCGCTCTAGTGGGCCGTGTCTGCTTTGCTTTTCTGATATTCAGCTTGAACCCCAATATCTGTCTCTGGATTTTTATTATTTGTGCTACAAATGCCCTTCTGAAAGGTGGCATATAGTTATTACTTATTTTAAACTATAATAGAAGAAACTTGTGCTCTTTCAAATTTCAGCATTTTTAGTGCTTTATTATCTAGGAATTTTTTTCTATCTTGTGAAATTTGACAAGTAATTAACCATACACTTTTTCTTTAACGAACATTTAACTCATGCTTGGATTTTGAATATAATATTTAAACCTCTGTCTGTTCTTGACCAGTTGGCACCATTACTTTGGGCCTTTGATGGCATAGTCCATGGTGGCAGTAATGTGTGGTGGAGGAGACTCATTCATTTCCTGAGTGTTTTATGTGGTGTGTAGAGGTCGCACCGTCTCCTGAAGGGACTTCCCCGTGACTAACTTCTTCCCACTAAGACCCACCTCTTAAAGGTGCTACCACGTCCCAGTAATGCCACAAGCTGGAGAACCAGCCTTTAACGACAATGCCTTTGGGGACAGGCATTGAAGTGTTTCAGTGCATTTCCTGTTTGGTTGTTTGTAGTCATTTTTGAGACTACAGTGTGTAAATGTAACTCTCAAAAGGAATAGAGATAGCTTATGCTTGAGTCAAACGTGAGTGCCCTGCGCAAACAAAGAGACATGCTCACTGTAGATTGGTCACTTTGTAGCATTGGTTACAGAACAAAGAAGGTCAGAAGTCAGAGTATTTACCAGATGCATTATTGAGAACCACAGGCAGACATGTCCGAGCAAAGCAGACGAAGCTTCGCCATAGGTATAGATACTGTCTGGTGACATTTTTAGCTTTTGCATTTGTAGAAACTAGTAGTTTGCTAAGAATACATTTTAAAGGGCTTAATAGTTCTAGTACGTTAGGTTAGACACATTACGTGGGTTGGTAAGGAATGACTTTCAAAGGGACTAAAAGTAGCTTAAGATAATTTAGCTTTGGCCTGCTGCATTTTAACTGTCCATAACTGTCAAGTTCAGCCATTTGCCTGTAGAGTGTTTAACACAGGTACGGCTCTTCTTTTTTCCTGCTGCCTTAAGTTTACAGATGACGTGAGTCTGTCCAGTTAATAGATGTGAATAAATGGTTCTCCTTGTCAGACACTCTTACTGTAGGTGCTGCCTAGAGGCTCTGGCTTCTCACAGACTGCATTTTTGTACAGAATCTGGAGCCACAGATAATAACAAAGAATATAGGTAAACTCTGTAATTCCAACTAGCGGTGGGGGTTGAGAAGCTAAGCAGTTAGCAGGGAGCTGGGAGGGTGGGCTGCCATCCTTCCTTTTGCCCAGCTTGCCAAGGGGCTTTCAACAGACCCGAGGAAGCGTTATTTATTAAGCATCTGGAAAAGAAACAACAGAGGGCCTGGTCTTGAAGCAGGGGTGAGAGTGGTGAATAGCCAGAGAGCATCATGGACACGGGGACAGAGCTTCAAATGAGATCAGAAAGTGGGCAAAGGTAAACGTCATGAAGCTATAGTCATACCCCATCTCAAATAATTCACAACAAATCAACAACATAAAGCAGAGAGGGTGACTGGAAAATGACCTGGGGGGTGGAGGGAGCGACTACATGTTAACCTTAGATGTCAGGGTTAAGGCTAGTACTGTTTTGTCAGGATTGTGGCCTCCAGGGAGAGAGAGAGAGAGAGAGAGAGAGAGAGAGAGAGAGAGAGAGAGAGAATGGTCAAGCAGTGACATACCCCAGAATCTCAGAAATCAGCTTTGGAGCCAGGCTTTGTGTGTGTGTGTGTGTGTGTGTGTGTGTGTGTGTGTGTGTGCGCGCGCGCGCGTATGTGTGTGCACACATATGTGTATACATTCTGGCCCCCGTCACCTACTCCTGGGTGACATGGGTGCTACCTAGTAAAGCCACACCCCAAGTTCTTATCTCTCTCATGGGATAATGGCAGTTCTGAACCCCTGGGTCACAGGGATGCAGTGAAGAATTTTTCAACCTCACAGAAGTCCTTTCTCTAGAGTGCTTTATCTCAAGAAAGGTAGTTAGGGTAGCTGTCACTGCTGTTACTGTAATTTTGAAGTTACTGACTCAATTCCTAACAGTGAAGGAGAATGTTATACAAATACCTGCTAAGATGGTATAAGATGGGCCGTGGGAAACATGGTGACGGACTTAGTCATGACTTCAGTAAGGACAAATAGGGATTTCTAACCAACAAGCATGGGCAGGCTTGAGGGAAGAACATCCTCGTGAGGAAATAAAAAGATATAGGCTTTCCGGCCAAATCTTACAATCAGATTATTGTTGATGTTAGTCCATAATGGGCTGTTATGGAGGATGGGGACTTCCAATAAAGTGATAGAGCAAAGTTCACTGGCAAAAAACCCAACAAACAAACAAACAAACAAACAAACAAAAAACTTTAGAGGAGGAAAGACTGGGAAGGAAGCCCACAGCTGAGCTGGGTGTAGCGTTTGGGTACTGATCTTCACTTTGGCTGGAGAAGGCTGTCAGCAACCTCACCTGTTGTGTGTGGGTCAGTGTCTTACCGGTAGTGTAGCACAAGCAGGCTGTTTTTGGACTCGGAACCCTGTTGCCTTAACCTCCCCATTTGCTGGAGGCCGTTTTTTTTGAGGCAGTGATTATGGTGCCGTGGTTTCCGACATGTCAGAATGATGTGGGGGGGCTGTTGAGGAGATTCGGAATCTTAAATTTGTGTCTCAGGTGGGGAGATGGGCACATCTGAGGGGTGCCACTTCACAGGGCCTCTAGGGACAGGAAACCCATCCTGGATTTGGTCTGCTTTGGAGGGAGGAGCTCAGAAAAGCCTTTGCTCGGCTGAGTGTCTGTAGAGCGACAGCTTGCTTCTGTTGTCCCATTTCCGTGGTGACTGTCCTGTTGTCTCCTAGGTATGTGGGAAACCTCCCAAGGATATTTGACTACTCGCCGTTAGATCCAACCCAGGACTTCAACACACAGATGTAAGTGCCCAGTGTTGTGTTTTAATGTTTCTGGCGGGGTGTTCGCATTGGCTGCTGCTGAGTTGAAGGCAATTCCTTTTTCTTCTTTATTTCCTGTGTTTAAAATGGGCGTGTGTTACCTTTATAGAAGAGATTAATAAAGTTAAAGTTACTGAGGAAACTTGGAGAGTGGGGTTAGAGCCAAGCTGTCTGTGAGGAGTCCGGACAGAGAGCAGTTCCCTGCCACACAAGGACTCATGGGTGACCTTTCCATCTCTGTGGGAAACAGCAGTGGCCTCTTCATTGTTTGTCTCTCTCCTGTCTAGGACTAAGTTGGGGCACGGCCTCCTCTCTGGCCAGTACTCAAAGCCTCCAGTGAAGTCTGAGCTCATTGAACAAGTGATGAAGGAGGAACACAAGGTATGTGTCCCCGTGTGCCATGTGGCCATGTACGTGGGTGAGCTTTGGTCAGCAATGGGAGTTTACTGTGTTGGCAAAAGGCTGTTGTCAATTCTGGGAACTGTCAGGGTAGCTGTGAGTGGGGTCTTGTCCCTGTGTCCTTTAAAAACAAGGTAAGGAAAAGACACCAGTGTCAGTTACCACTGGCTTGGGTCTCAACATGGGTGACATGTGTGTCCTCACTCATAATTTTCCTAAGGCAGATTTGGGATTGGAGGCATGAAGCTTAAAAACTGCCTTCTCCTTATCCAGTATGGGCCTCTCAGTGTTTACCTTAAACTCCAGATGTTTTTGCTAGGTCCCCTTGTCTCCCTCCTGCCCTGTCTCCATCTCCTCCTCCCCACCCCCTTCCAGCTCCCTTTTCTTCCTTCTAGAAAGAGTCTCCCTGTGTAGGCCAGCATTGTGTAACTTTTTCTTCAGAGATACAAACAACATGTACTCCCTGTATGTAGGCTACGTGAAACAGGCCACAGTAACAGTTAACCTAAATCTGGTTTGAGGAGCCAATGAGTTTCTTGGGGAGTACTCGGATGAACACGGATGAGGGAGGACTGACAGGAGTGTGGGTTCCCCAAAGGCAGCCAACCCCAGCATGGGCAATGACTCAGGGAAGCAGCATCCCTATAACTCTGTCCTATCTGCAGACAACTCTCCCAAAGAGTTTCATTTCCCTCAGAATTGTCTCTTCTGAGTACCCCATGTTCTCTTGTACACTGTGGTGCTCAAGCCTGTTCCATGCTGGGTCTCAAGTGTTTGACCTCTATGCTCCCCAGTTAGGTCAGCTATCCTTAGCTAGTATGGTAATTTAAGAGCAGGCGTGGAAAGTGAGTTCCTTGTTGGTCATGTGGGGTTAGCTGCTGGTGGGAGTGGGCAAAGGAGGGAAGGAGGACGTGAAGGGCAGTGTATCCTCAGAGGTGTCTGGATGGAGAGAGGGAAGTATGCTGGGAAGGGGATAGGGAGGGAGTAGATGCTTTGCCTAGTGAGCCCAGGAGAGGCGAGGAGGGTGGGATCGGCAGAGCTCACCTTCTCAGGTTGTCTTGTTACCCAGCATTGCAAGGTAATGGCTGCAAATCCTCCAGGACTTGGGGGATTCTGACTGGGACACACGGGGATCCTGACGTGGGACACACAGGGATTCTGACTGGGGACATACGGGGGATCCTGACTGAGGACACACGGGGATCCTTACTGGGGACACACAGGGGATCCTCACTGGGGACACACAGGGGACACACGGGGATCCTGACTGGGACACATGGGGGATCCTCACTGGGGACATACGGGGGATCCTGACTGAGGACACACGGGGATCCTGACTGGGGACACAAGGGGATCCTGACTGGGGACACACGGGGATCCTGACTGGGACACACGGGGATCCTGACTGGGGACACATGGGGATCCTGACTGGGGACACACGGGGATCCGTACTGGGGACACACGGGGGATGGGTTTATGCTATGGGATCACTAGACATCTCTCTTTAGCTTCCATGAAACTTGGAAGGAGTGATGGTTGATGAAAACAAACTTGCATTTTGAGCTCATTATTCTTGGATGTTGTTTAGTCTGTGTTGGGTCTTGGGAGCTCTGTGGGGGCAGCTGCCACCTTGACTGGTGAAGATGAGGAGCCTGGTCCTGCAGGGCTGTGCAACTGCAGGCAGATCGCCAAGCCACACTCTTCAGATGGCTTCAGCTGGGGTGTTTTCAGCTGTGTCCTAACGATGGTAAAATCTGTGTGCATTTATGACCATTATTGTGCTTTTAGAATCTCCTTATTCGAGGGGATATAAACTCTTCAGGTGAACAGTGTCTGGAAATAAAACTGAGTTTTGCTGCTATCATGATGTCCTCAGCCATGATGAAGAAGTAGCTCAGGATGACCAGAGTACAATATTTATTGATCTCACAAACAAGAGGCTATAGCCCCTTCTGTGCCTCCACATCAGATCCAGTTGCTGTTATCAGCCAGGCAGGCAGGTGGGAACCCCTGCTCTGACTGAGGTATGACTGGCCTCACTCGGGCCACATTAGGCTGAGCGTGGTTTCTTGGTTCATCCATGATATATAATCCCTAGCCCCTTAATGGCAGCTAGAGGCCACTGGCAGCCCTCTAGTACAAGGAAGGACATGATTCCCAGCTGACACCAATCTCTGTGACTTGTGACCTATTTAGTGCTTTTGGCATTTGGATTTGTGACCTTTGGTCTAGATGACTTAGAAAACACTTCCCTGCTGTGTAGAATGAGGACATGGTGGTCTGGAAGAAAGAATCCTAAAGGGTTTGGGGTGTTAAATTGGTAGAGTGTTGGCTGACATGCACAAAGCCCGGCTAGACTGATGGTGGTGGAGCAAGGCTGTAATCCCATCACTAAGTGTTGTTGTTCTAGAGGACCTGGGAGAATGGAGCCGATGAGGCAACAGCCACCTTTATTCAGAGCATCAGACAATTTATACTCTGAGGGCTAAGAGAAATCACAAGAGTAAAGTTCTCATGAGTTCAAGCTGTGTACAATCACAAAGACGCAAAAATGTTTTTCCATAGAGGCATGTAAAGGATCATTCAGACATTTGGTTGAATAACAACAGCAAGCAGCAATGAGTAATCTGAAGTCGACTCACTCCCACCCGCTGTGCCTGGGAGGAACAGGAAAACATTACAAGAACAATTCCGTGCTTTGAAGAAGCTGAGGCTATGAGATTCTTGTCTTGTTTTCTTGGAGTTTTCTCGCAAGCACTTAGAACTCTCCTCACACAACTCCAATGCTGGACCGTGTTCTGACAACAAAGGAGGTGGAGGCAGGAGGATCATAAATGCAAGGTACATAGTGAGCTTAAGGCCAGCCTGGCCTAAATGAATCCCTGAGTAGGTGGACTTTCTTTCCTGTCAGCCAGTTCCCAAATAACCACATAGAAACTTATTATTAACTATAAATGCTTGGCCAATAGCTTAGGTTTATTACTAGTTTACTCTTATATTTTAAATTAACTCATATTTCTTTCTTTTATTTGTTATTGCTATTTCTTTCAACCATAGTTTCCCCTCCCAGCTCTCCTCCTATTCCACCCCTGACCCTGCCTTCCCTCAACCCACCTTTCATCCACTCCTCAGAAAGGCTAAGGCCTCTCATGGGTAGTCAACAAAGCCTGGCACATTGAGGCAGGACCAAACCCTTCCTCCTTACATCAGAGCTGAGCAAGGCATCCCACCATAGGGAATGGGCTCCACAAAACCAGTGCATACACTAGGGATAGGTCCTGGTCCCACTGCCAGGAGCCCCTCAAACAGACTAGACTACACAACTGTCACCCACATATAGAGGGCCTAGTTTAATCCCATGCAGGCTCCACAACTGTCAGTCTGGAGTTCAGGAGTTTCCATGAGTTTCCACCAGTTTGGTTCAGCTGTCTCTGTAGATTTTCCTGCCATGACACCCCACCCCCATTCATATATTCTCCCTTTCTTTGATTGGATTTCCAGAACTCAGTTTGGTGCTTGTCTGTGGATCTCTGCATCTGCTTCAATCAGTTGCTGGATGAAGGCTCTATGATGACAGTTAGGGCAGTCACCTATCTGATTATAGGAGAAGGCCAGTACAGACACCCTCTCCACTATTGCTGGGAGTCTTAGCTGTAACCCATATTTCTTATTCACACTCTGTCATGTGGCTCAGAACCTTTTCCCAGTACTGGGCAAGTTCATCTCCTCCCTGTCTCCTCATGAATCTCTGACTCCTCCCCTTCTTCATGCTCTCTGCTCTTTCTTTGCCTGCAAGTCCTGCCTGCCTAACCAGATATTGGCCAGTCAGCGTCTTTATTAACCCAGTCACAGTGACATATATAATTCATACAGTGTAAAGAAATATCCCACAGCAAAGGTAGAATGCTGTGGGCATGGGAACTGCCCCAGGCTGTCTGATGCCTGTGCAGCTGCTCTTGGTACCTGTGTGATCCTGCTTCAGCACCTGGTTGGATGGGGCTTTTCAAGTCTGCAAATTACCTGCAAGCTCAATAGCGTGGGCCTTTTGCTTCTCAACTCTGCCTTTGGCCTTGGATCTTGGATCATTCCTCATAGATAAGCAGCCTGATATGAAATCATCAGCTGTAGACCAAAAGAATTCCTAGATTTTTAGTGACATCTTAGTCAAGAAACCATTTCATCTATAAAAAAGAATCCCAGTGTCTTAGTTATGGTTTCTATTGATGTGCTAAAACTCCATGACCTAAAGGAACTTGGGGAGGAAACGGTTTATTTTGTCTTACGCTTCTGGGTCTATCACTGATGGAACTTAAACAGGGCAGACATCAGGAAGGAGGAACTGAAACAGACCATGGAGGAACAGTGCTTACTGGCTTGCTTCTCATGACTTGCTCAACCTTCTTTCTTTCTTATACACCCCAGGATCATCTGCTCAGGGGTGCCACCACCCAAAATGGGCTTGGCCTTCCCTTATGAGTCTCTGATTAAGAAAATGCCTTGCCTATAGGCTTGCCTATGGGCCATTCTAATAGAAACATTTTCTCTGCTGTGGTTTGCTTTTCTCAGATATGTCTAGGTTTGTGTCATATTGACAAAAGCTAATGATCACACCCAGTATTTTAGTTCCTTTATAAGATTTTATCTATTTATTTGTGCATTTATTTATTTATTTATTTGTGTGAGTATGTGTGTAAGTGTCTCTCTGTGTGTGTGTGTGTGTGTGTGTGTGTGTGTGATATGTACAAATGCAAGTGGAAGCCAGACGAGGGCTTTGGATTGGCTAGAGCTGGGTTTAGGTAGTTGTGATCGACCCAATCTGGGTGTTGGGAACTGAACCTGGGAAGATCACTAGGCACTTTTAACTGCTGAGTCATCTCTCCAGCCCAGTATCTGATATGGGCTCTACCGTGTCCTTAAGAGTTTGTTCTTGGTATTTATTCTACTTGTTTATTTATGCAGAGGACAGCACCCAGACTCTTGCTCATCTGGACCAGTGCTTTCACAGAGTTTGAAGGTGACAATCCTTCGGGTTTTCCCCTGCAAACAGCATGCTTGAAGTAGTTGTGTATTCTGAGAAACTGTGTCTGGGACAGTTCGACCCCCAAATGAAATAAGGTTGACACCATTGTGGGCTTTAATGTCATCTGAGGTCACCAGCATCCTGCCACACAGAGGTGGTAGGATTTTAGTTTTAAGCATGGATGGAGTTTTGCTTTCTTTAGTTTATATTTACCCCAGTTGGGCAAATGTAACATTCTTGTCTTTTTTTTTTTAACATGAAAAAACACATTTCATTGTTTGTAAGTACAAGATAATGTTTCTAAGTGAATCAAACCGTAGACACAGTCTTCTTCGAGGTTGTTTCCCGCCACCAGGTTGAGTTGTTCATAACTAAAATTAACCGGCTTCAATCTGGTTGTTTTCTATCAGAGGATGAAATAAACAGGAGGAGGAGAAAGACTGCGTAGGATTCAGTGTTAGCGCTTTCACAGTTGGGCTTGAGGCGGGGCTGCTGGAGATCAAGGCTGTCAGCAGGACTTGCCCTTCTCTTTTTGTATGTGCTCCGTCTACTCCACACACCGAATCATTCTAGTATGCCAGTTACTCAGGACAATCATGCTAACAGCTCTTCCCCCAAATACCGCCCAGTGCAGGAACTGGCCAGGGATTGTCTGGCAAACATGTGTTGGGGACAGGTTGCGCTATGTGGTCAGAAACATCTGCAGGCATTGCTCTGATGCACTGGAAGCTCCAGCTAGCTCACTTTTTTGCTTGTTAATGAACGCCTTGGGCTCTGGGGAGCCAGTGGACACTGTCTGACTGTGTGCCAGCATGCTGTTAGAAGGTTCTGGGCAAGCGTCTGGGAGAGCCTTGGCACTGTAGTCCTCTCTCTAACTTTAGCTGGTCTTTTTTTCACTTGCTGAAGGAGAAAGAAGTACAGTAACCTAGTTGTACTACAGACTTCCTGGGTGCATGCTCACATGTTTGCACACACACACATGAACATATACATAAACTAAAAAAGAAAAAGAAAACAAATTTGCATCTTTGTGTAGAGAGCAAAGCATAATGCATTCCCCTCGAGCATTCTGAGCACTGACAGGCATCAGTAATCAGCCATTGTGAGTGCAGGTGTGGGTAGAGGCCAGCGACGTGGGGCTCCTCTGATGCTGGAGTTACAGGTGGTTGTGAGCTCTCTGAAGCCTGGTGTGGGGGCTGGGATGTGGACTCAGATCCTCTGGCAAAGCAGTGAGTGCTCTTAGCCACCAGGTCACCTCTCCGGCCCTATGAACTCTTCCTTTTCTGCCAGGGTTCCCCTCTGTAGCACATCTTTAGTCTGCTAAGACATTTGGCTACTGTGTCACACGTTCTATGAGGATGGGCCTCAAGCCTGTTAACAAAGTGGAGCATTGGCACCCACTGTCCTGATCTCTGAGTCCACAGGAAGAGTCCCAATTTGTTCTCACATAAAGTTTCTCTCTCTCTCTCTCTCTCTCTCTCTCTCTCTCTCTCTCTCTCTCTCTCTCTCTCTCTCTCTCTTTATGTATGTATGTATGTATGTATATGTGTGTGTCTAGATATTTTTAGACAGTCTTATGGACCCCAGGTGATTCTTAGACTTGCTGCTCAGCTAAGGATGACACCGAGCTTCTGCTCTTCCTGCCTCCACCTCCTGAGTGCTGGGATTACAGATATATCCCACCACACCTGCTTTCTGTGGTGCTGAGGATGGAGTCCCAAATTTCATGCATGCTAGATCAATACTTTGCCAACTGAGCTAGCCTCATTCTCATAAAGTTTATAGAGAGCCACGTCTACATACCCTGTTGATGCTGGCTCTTGTCATGGTCGCCTTTCTCCTCATTTGAAAGGCGGGGTCACAGTTAGGCCACACCCACTTGCCATTCGGGCTTCAGATGTATATGGAAGTGCTATCTGCTGATTTATTCTTTTTTTTTTAATTTAGTGTTTTTGTGTGTATTCTTATTTCATACAATATATTTTGATCATAATCTTTCTCCTCCTCTGACACCTCTCAGATCCTCCCCACCTACCCAACTTCGTGTTCTTCCTTCTTTCCCTAAAGTAAAAGACAAAAATAAAAAACAGAAGTCAAAGAAACAAAAAACCAGTAAGACAAAATTTCAAAGCAGAATAAAACAAAAAGTCCATTAAACAACAAACCAACAAAACAAAACATGGACTTTGTTTTCTGTTGCTGACTACTCGTGGTGGGAGGGCCTCCCCTAGAGTGTTGCTTTTTCTGTCCAGTGACGCTCTGCTGAGGAAAACGGGTTTTTCTCTATCAGCAAGGTTCATGCAGACAGTTTCTTTGTAGAGGTGGATCATGTGTCCACGTTCCTCTCTCAGTGCTGGGATTTTATCTAGTCTGAACCTGTGCAGGTCCTGTGTTGCCACAGTCTCTGTGAGTTCATATGCGCATCGGTCCTGTTTAGACTCTCCAAAGTCTCTCATTCTCTGCCATTGTCACTTGTGGGACTCCGTGGGAATTACTGTCTACTGCAAGGGGTGTCTCTGACGTGGGCTGAGTGATGCTCTTACCGATGGGTACAGCATTATGTCACTAGGAGTCATTTTATTACTATGTCTCTTTAGCAGAGTAATAGGTAGGTTTTCACCTACAGAAGATGATTTTGTCTTTATACTCTAGCCTCAACAGAACGGGATCTCCCCACGCATGTTCAAGGCCTTTGTCAGCAAGAGCCATCCAGAATTTTCCTCTAACAGACAGCAGGATGCCCAGGAGTTTTTCTTGCACCTGGTCAATCTGGTAGAGGTAAGTCTGGAGGACATCCCACAGAAATGCACCAGCTTCTCTGTGGATGGCGTGACCAAATACCCCTTTTCTTTACATCAGTCACTCATGGGGCCTCTGGGTGGCTGTCTCTGCTGGCACTTGATGTGGCTGCCTCTCACATTCGGGTTCCAGATGCTGCTGGCTTTGTATGGCTTTCATGCTGTGTGTGTGATAGGTGTGCCTGGCCTCTGCACAGAGCCCCCCGAGAGCCCCTCCAGGTCCCTGATATCCAGCCACTACCACTCAGGTGATCACGCTGCTGGTGCACCAGAGCTGAATCCCGTGGAAGCCATGAAGAATTCACCTTAAACAGAACAGAATAGCAGCCTTTCCCCCTTGGTTAGGAAAGTGTTCTTTACAGAAAAGGGAGAAAACTCAGAGGAGCAAATCAGAGCTGTCATAATAGCAGGCGCTGTGGCTAACATTTTGGCAGCTGAGCCTTCAGTCATTCCCCAATCGCGTGTGAATTCTGTGTGTGAGAGTAGTATTTTTCCCAACTGCGTGTGAATTCTGGGTGTGAGCAGGGTTTTCCTTAACTTATTACCATATCCTCATGTGCCCTAATATAGCATGGTTTCTTCATTTGTCTATAGTCTACGTTAAGTGCATTTAAAACTGTATCAAACAGATCTTGTTTTTCCAGGACAGTATATTATCCTCTTTCTATTCATTAGCTTATCTTCCTTCCTTCTTCTAATCCCACCAACACCTATCTGTCTTCTGTGGTTTTAATGACTTTGTAATATTACTTCACAGGTGAACTTGAATTTATTTATCCAACCCCTCATTTGGGGACACTATATAAATCACAGTGTCTATTATTATTATTATTATTATTACAAATTTTCACCTCCTCCCATTTGCCTCCTCCTCCCCCCATTCCCCAAATCACAGTGTCTTAATCTGGTTGACTTTCATGTCCAGAAAAAAATGCTCCATAAAGAAAGATCTTGATGCCAGAATCGTAGTTGACATTGTGCCATATTTTATTCACGGCTTCATTCCCCTGTATCCGCTAACCTGGTTCTATCTGACCTACAGAGGAATCGCATTGGCTCAGAAAACCCAAGTGACGTTTTCCGGTTTTTGGTGGAAGAGCGCATCCAGTGCTGTCAGACCCGCAAGGTCCGCTATACGGAGAGGGTGGACTACCTGATGCAGTTACCTGTAGCCATGGAGGCAGCAACCAACAAAGGTAACAGTCCCGGATGGGAAAAGAGCCATGTGTGCCTCCCTGCGGGCAGACCTGCCCCAGAGATAAGGTGCCCGGTCACTGGGATGGATGGGGCTGTGCTTGCGTTGCATGGCCCTTCTCGTTATTTCCAAGTCACTGCATGACTGTCTGTGGGGGTGGCTAAATGTATCATGCAGGCCTTTGCAGAGGATTCTGGACAGGGGCTGCTTTCGAACCCAGAAATGGGGCTCACGGTTAGGCTGCAGTCAGTACAGTTATGTTGTTTGTGGCGATGTGGGTAGGCTTCTCTCATGACACGGAAAAGATGCTCTGGTATAAGCTGGATGGAAAATGGATCTTTGGGTGTTAGAAGTGGAATCAGAGATTTTCTACCTGAGTCTTTAAGGCAGGCCTCCTGGGAGGTGACTTGCAGGCAGGGCACTCTGTAACAGTGAGGCCCAAGAGGAGAATGCCTGGACTTTGAAATGCAGGAGAGTGCCATCATGCCTTTCAGGGCATGGCTCCGTCCCATACTGTCAGTGTGATCTGATTCTTCCCAGGCAGGAGGGATGGATGGTATTCCTTAGAGTTTTGTCTTAGAGAGGAAAAGGGCAAAATGGCTGTTGGATTGTTCATGTTGGGGTACCTGCCATCCTTGTAAAAATTCCTCTTTGAGTGCCTATTGCTCCTATTTGGGGGAGTTAATTTATTATGATATTGGAAGTGATGGTCCTGATGGTTTAAAGATGAAATTATTTCCATTGTCTATGCATGCATACAGCTTTGGGTTGCATTTAGATTCTTGACCATCATCTGAAATATGGAAGCTGTGGAATGTGTGCTTTGTTGCGTTTTGAGAGTGAGGGCTGTCTTACTTTTCCTGTTGTTCCATGAAGTGCCTGACGAAAGTCACTGGGGGAAGGGAGGGAGGAAGGGAGGGAGGGAGAAAGCGAGAGAAAGAGAGGGAGGGAGAGAGGGAAAAAGGGAGGGAGAGAGGGAAAAAGAGAGGAAGCTTGTGTTCAGCTTGCCGTCTTCTTCATATGCACTCAGGATGCTGATGGGGCTACTCATTTTTAGGGTAGATCTTCCCATTCAAATGAACCTAATCGAGACAATCCCTCACAGGCTCGGTCAGCCGCTAAACTAATCTAGATAATCCCCGAGGGCTATGCCTGGAGGTTTTACCTCCTAGATGCTGGGAGAACCTGACAAGTTGATTGTCAGTCTGAGCCACTGGAAGGAACAATTGGTTTTCCTTGCTCACCTCAGACTTACAGGTTCTGTTCAGGTCTGTCAGCCTCCGTGACAAAGATGTTCTCTAAAATTAATGTTGGTTTGAGAGTCTCAGTGCTCAGTTTCTCAAAGGGAATTCACATGCTATATAGGATGTGTGTGTGTGTGTGTGTGTGTGTGTGTGAGGATGCTGTGCAGAGGGACCTTTTTAATGCAAAATGAGGAGAGTTGCATGAGTTGGCTTACAGCAACCCCAGCTACAGGATTAGGAGGAGCAGCAGCACTCGGGCCCAGCAGGTGTCACTGCAGAAGCGGCCTCCATGCGAGGCTGCCATCCGGATCCTCTTGTGATGATTTCTGTTGTCAGGGAGAAGCATCAGACTCCCACTTGAGCAGTTGCTTTACTGATATAGTTGGTAGGGCGAGGCGGAATGAATCCGTTTGCATTTTAAAAGCTTTAATACAGTCCTGTGGTCTCGATTCACTATATGAGTGGTAATCTTTTTAAGAAAAGAAAGGAGACATGTAGTTTAGTTTCTGGATTTCTTGTAACATTTAACGTTTGTAGGCTAGATAGAAGTACTGTGTTGTAAACTGTCGGTAGATAGAGATGGTGTTTTTTTTTTTTTTTTTTTTTTTTTTTTTTTTTTTTTTTTTTTTTTTTTTTTTTTTTTTTTTTTTTTTTTTTTTTGTGGGGTGGACTTTTGAGACAGGGTTTCTCTGTAGCTTTAGATCCTGTCCTGGCACTAGCTCTTGCAGACCAGGCTGGCCTTGAACTCACAGAGATCTGCCTGCCTCAGCCTCCTGAGTGCTGGGATTAAAGGCGTGCGCCACTGGCTGAGAAGGGGTTTTAAAGCTTTTCAGAGGGGGTTAGGAAATATGTATGTGCATAAGCCAATCTATTAGGAGGGAATTTTTGTTATTGTTGTTGCTATTGTGAAATAATCAACTGGAAAGGAAATGATATTCAAAGTATTTGTGATGTTTTACCTGCAGTTAGTGTCAAAATGGGAGCAGATCCCTGGTCCCCCAAGGGTCCCCAGCACGCTCACTTCTTTCCTCTTATTATTGCCCCAGAAAGCAGTGGACTGGGTGCTGTTTCTGAGGGTGGGTTGTATTTCCAGGATGGTGTTGGTGGATAAAGGCAGGCTTAGACACATGCTCCCCTTAACCTCATGCTGTTGTGGGACCCATGACTGTAGTCACAGTGGCTGGAGGAAGCAAATCAGAAAGCACGTGACACCGAATCTCACCATTGTCTGGAGCTCGCTGACAGTCCTGATTTTATCTCCTTCCCTTGGCCATGTTCTTTTCCAGACAATTTAAAGTTGGCAGCCCCTCCCCAACCAAGCACCCAATCATTTGAAAAAACCCCCGCGCATTGGGGTTATATCTCTTTTGGGCCTCATCTGTGTTTGTTGACCAGGCCTTTAAGTCTAGGCTTCTCAGTGGCCTTTGTTTCTTTGTCAGGGATGTGAAGGGCCTGGGGAGAGGAGAGCCCGTGGTTCCCTGACAGCTGCAAACTCTGGTGTGAATCGGTATAAGAGCATCACTTGGGTCACTGGAGGGTGGGAAAGGGGAACCGTAGGCCCCTGAGTCATTGTTGTCTCATCAGGACTCAGTTCCTTCTTGTCGCTTTCAAAATGAAATAGCAAAACAAGCAAGAATAAAGAAAAATTCGAGTGATATCTGGGCACTGGTTGCTCAAACCTTTAATCTCAGCATTCAGGAGGCAGAGGCAGGCAGATCTTTGGGAGTTCAAGGACAGCCTGGTCTACAGAGTGAGTTCCAGGACAGCCAGGGCCACACAGAGAAATCCTGTCTCAAAAATAAATAAACAAACAAATATATAAAAATAGAATTAAAAAGTATTTCTGAATCCACAAAGCCTATAAGTAAGTCTTGGGAAGGGTCTCTGGGCAGACTTCTCTGGAATAGACAGACAGACAGGCAGCAATCCTGACCTGTAAGGAAATATGCCACCCAAAAGGGGTGTGGCTTCTGTGCACAAGAGAAGTGCGACCACCGCAGGTTCCTTCCTTGCTCTTCCTCAGATGAGCTGATCGCCTATGAGTTGATGAGAAGAGAAGCCGAAGCAAACCGAAGACCCCTTCCCGAGCTGGTGCGAGCCAAGATCCCCTTCAGTGCCTGCCTTCAGGCCTTTGCCGAACCAGACAATGTGGAGGACTTCTGGAGCAGTGCCCTGCAGGCGAAGTCTGCAGGGGTGAAGTGAGTAGGGCTGGCAGTCCCTGGGGGAGGTGGGGGCGGAGGCAGCAGAGGGGGCTGGGTGTTCTGGGAGTTTGTGGATGCTGTTCCTGAGGGTGGGATGGATTGCGATGGTCACCTGTAGCTGTCATTCAGGTCACTCGATGAGCCTGACCAATAGGACATTCCATCCTGTGATTCTGGTTATGTGCTGGGTGGGGGAGTGTTCACCTCCCCACTCCCCCCCCTTTTTTTTTTCAAAAAAAGCAAAATTGTGGTTTATTCTGCAGTTGAAATTTGCCTTTTTTCCCTCTCTTGCCACGAGAGTAGGGTTGAGAAACACCCTGGCTCCCATGTGGCAAGAATGGTTACTGGTTAAGAAATCCCCAAACCACTCACGGCAGCCTTCGATATGTAAACCCCGGAGCAGTATGTTGTAGTTTTACAGTTTTGTTTTGGCATAGGCCTTGGTTGATCGTGTGCCTCTCGGGGAAGTCTTGGGCATGCTAGGTGGGCATGAGAGTGTGCATGGTGAGCCCCTTACAGCCCAGTTAGGAGATGCGTCATGTTCATATGTGAGCCTGGCTGTTAGGTCCATGCAGTCTTTTCTCCACTGGATGATCTGATACAGTCAGTACTTGCTAACACTCTTCATGTTGCCCTTTGAGTGGGGGAAAGAGCGCTTACAGAGACAGAGTAAAAGGGCTACTGGGAGTTATGTCCATCCAGTTCTCCCTGTTTACCTTTTAATTGGGAAGTCTGCTTCCTCCTTCTCTACACTCCCCTTCTGTGCTGGAGATTGAGCCCAGGATTTCATAGATGCTAAACAAGCAAGCTATCAGCCAGCTATATTCTTAGCTGCTGGAAGCTTGTCTCTGGAATGTTACTACTGGGGAATGTTCTTGGCCTCCTCTTGAAGGGCAAGAGTGAGGTCTGAGTTGACAGAGTGAAGGGTGCAGGGCCGTGGTGCCTTGCTCTTTTCCCCTACAGCCTGATTGGCACGCAGACCTGCCATTGGTTGCTGTCTGCAGAGCCTTCAGGATCCTGTTTGCTTCAGGTTAGATGTCACATGCCAGAAACAGGAAAATAAGACCATTTATTTCAAAGGTTAAGAGTTAGAGACACATTTCCGTGGCAGAGGGCCTGCTAGGTGTGTATGAGCCCTGGGTTTGTTTCCCAGTACTGCAGAAAACAAAACAAAACAACAACCACTCCAAAATTCCCGTCCCTATATACCTCAGAGCAAAATCAGAGAACCCAAAATAACAAAACAAAGCAAAACAAAACCCAACAAAACCCCCATTTTTTGTCAAGTTAACTTTGAAAAGATCCTCATGCGATGAGGATTAGTAGCCATTCATTCTGTTCCAGCGGTCTGTCTTTAGGTAAGTTTTGATGTAGGGACTGCTGATTGTGTGTGTGTGTGTAAGTGTGTGTGTGTGTGTGTGTGTGTGTGTAAGTGTGTGTGTGCAAGCATGTGCAATATGTACAGGTACATACTTACCTCATGGTATATGTGGAAGTCAGAGAACAACCTTCTCCCACTTCTACCTTGTTTGCCACATGGCCTCTCTTGTTATTGTCCTTGCATATCGCAGCCTTATGGCAGCCAGTCCTGCAAGTTCCAGGGATTCTTACGGCTCCACCTCGCACCTCACTGTGAGAGCACTGGAATGATTGAGTGTATCACTGCCTGGTGCTATATGGTTTCTGGGTATCTGAACCCAGGTCCCTAAAGAGCCATCTCCTCAGAGTGCATATGCTTTTTCTAGGTGTAAAAAGAATTAGCTTTGTATCACAATTGTTATATGAAGACACAGTCCTTGTGGGACAGAAAAAGACGAGAGCTCCTAAAATACTCACCCTTTAAAATTTCCTGAGGCGCTTGTGATGAGCTTGTCGTCAGTGGTATCTTTTATTATTATTTCTGTTGTGTTTTGAGATAGGGTCTTGCTATAGCCCAGCCTCCCACCCCCCAGTTTTTAAAATGCTCTTAGTGGTGTGAGGTAGGCTCCTTTAGTCTCCAACTTCCCAGAGGGGTCATTGAAAAGAGAAGCAGTTGGCCAGTAAGTGGCCTGCTTGGGAGAATGACCTGGTCTGACTGCATTCCTAACCCAGGTTTATCTGTGTTACCACCATATTATGCAGATGTCCATATGTAGCCATCCTTAGTTGTCCTTATTATACTTTATAATGTTCCAAATGCTAATCTCGGCATTTGGAAAAGCCAGCTAGTGAACTTCTGGGAATTCATTATTTTTAATTTATTTTTTAGCCATGTAGGCTGTAATTTGACTGACATTTTGTTAGTGTGAGATCTTTTTTTTTTTAATTTATTTATTTATTTATTAAACATTTCTGTCTCTTCCCCACCGCCGCCTCCCCTTTCCCTCCCCCTCCCCCAACCAAGCCCCCCTCGCTCGTCAGCCCAAAAAGCAATCAGGGTTCTCTGCCCTGTGGGAAGTCCAAGGACCATCCACCTCCATCCAGGTCTAGTAAGGTGAGCATCCACGAAACTGCCTAGGCTCCCACAAAACCACTAGGTCCAGTAGAATCAAAAACCCGTTGCCATTGTTCTTGAGGTCTCAGTAGTCCTCCTTGTCCGCTATGTTCAGCGAGACCAGTTTTGACCCAGGCTTTTTCAGACCCAGGCCAGCTGGCCTTGGTGAGTTCCCGATCCCCATTGTCTCAGTGTATGGGTGCACCCCTCCCAGTCCTAAGTTCCTTGCTTGTGCTCTCTCTCCTTCTGCTCCTGATTTGGACCTTGAGATTTCAGTCCGGTGCTCCAATGTGGTTCTCTGTCTCTGTCTCCTTTCATCGCCTGATGAAGTTTAATATTCAGGAGAAATATTCAGGATTTTCTTTGGGTTCTCCTTCTTATTTAGCTTCTCTAAGAACCC